AAAGTTTACAGCCAGTGAATGAGGAAACCTTCCTTAGAGACACGCTACCCACAGTCAACCTTCCTTATGAGACACGCACCCACAGTCACCTTCCTTATGAGGCACGATACCCACAGTCACCTTCCTTATGAGGCACGATACCCACAGTCACCTTCCTTATGAGGCACGATACCCACAGTCACCTTCCTTATGATTCACGACATACCCACAGTCACCTTCCTTATGAGACACGCTACCCACAGTCACCTTCCTTATGAGGCACGATACCCACAGTCACCTTCCTTATGAGGCACGATACCCACAGTCACCTTCCTTATGAGGCACGATACCCACAGTCACCTTCCTTATGAGACACGATACCCACAGTCACCTTCCTTATGAGGCACGATACCCACAGTCACCTTCCTTATGAGGCACGATACCCACAGTCACCTTCCTTATGAGACACGATACCCACAGTCACCTTCCTTATGAGGCACGATACCCACAGTCACCTTCCTTATGAGGCACCACCTACCTTATAAACACTTGTACAGATTAAACACACAAACACTTGATTTCAAAGAATTTCAAATTTATTTTCAAATGCCTCTGGGTCAAAAGAAATAATTTAAAAGATCCAAAACAAGAAGATAGAATGTATTTTAAAAAAAAAAGTGTTTCACATGTCATGTATTTGTTGTGAGAATCGTATCTGCTGTGTGACAAATGACAACATTCAGAAAATGAATAAAATAACCTAGCAGAGCAGATTCAAGCACTACACTATCCAGTAGACACAATTATCACAGGGATACGGACGTCAAAAATATATACATCAGTATTGTTTTGTCAATATAAAATGTTTCATCAGCACAAATGAACAAACACTGTAACCAGAAAGTTCAACAAAATACACACTATCTAAAGTTTTGACAAAACTCTGTAGCAATAAAGGACCAGAACCTTGTTAACAAAACTCATATAAGAATATGCCCAAAACAAAACTCATATAAGAATATGCCAAGTTGTTGATAGACTTTGGTCAAAATGTTCAAATGTGTCTTTCTTCCTTTTAATTGAACTTTTTAAGTTATATTCACTGCTCACACACAATGGTCTGAAAGTAACTATTTTTTTTGTGTGGGCAGACATGGATAGGAGAGGAAGGGTTAAAAGAATTGTATGCATCAATAAATTGTGACCATATACGAGTATGTACCAAACTAACACATATAGAATACACAGTACATACACTATTTGTCATCTTTTATCCTCCAATGGAGCATAGACCCCTTAACCCTCTCACTGCAAGCCTGATCTTTTAAAATTGTTTGCTTGGAATTTGCTGCAGAATTTTTCTATTGGAAGAGATAGCCAGGCATACACTGGCCCCATGAATTCAATGGCAGGTTGCAGTTCTACTTTTATCCTTTTCACTTATAGACCCTGCAACTAAGGCATTGCGAACAAGCTACATAATTCTGAGGTACCAATGTTAAGAAAGCAATGACAAACTACTGAACAATAACTGCCTAGTAAAACTAACATAACCAACAAATGCTGTGGCTGGTTCTGCAATGTCCTGTAAAGGATAAACAACAACTTATGGGCACCAACTAAAAAGATCAAGCACTCACCAGATAACCACATGAGCGTAGGACTGAAATAAATCTGCATGCTGGTCATGTGGACTGGAAAAGTTTTGACAGCACTTACAAGGAATCTACATTGACAGCACTTACAAGGAATCTACAAAAGTGAGCAGGCTCTAGAATCCCACAGACCAATAACACATGAAAGGCAGCATATTGGGACTCAAAATGCAGGGCTCTGCATGAGGACAAGCCAACAGCTGTGTTAGAAACAAAAACTGGGGTCCAGTATGGATGCTTGCTGCTATTCTTACTGGTCAAGGACTGGTTTATAAAGACCACAATGGCTAATGAGAAATGGAAATCAATAGCCACAGTTACCTGTGTGGGTTCCCTGGCCCTATTATAGGGAAAACCAGAATAGACCCACTGCCTACTCAAAAGTATGTCATAAGAGTCGACTAATTGGCAGCTTCCTTTGAAGTCGGAGTGTATCTGCCTGAGAGGCAAGGAACCAACAGTCTGCACACAAATTAGATCTGTCATATTCTGGAACAGGATTGTAGTCCAGAAGTATTCGAACAACCAGAACTTTCTACCAAAGTTAACAGATGGTGGAAGGAAAGAAGAAAAGCCAGTTTATAATGCTCCATTATAGGATAAATAAAGAGGGGTAATGCAGACACAAATGCAATTATCCATTGATCAGGTAAAAAATAAAGTCACATTATTACATTTCACTGTTCTGTACAATTACAATTTCGCTGCTTTCAAAATATAGTCAATGTTAACTATTTATCCAACTGCTACAGTGACATTATGGCAGTCTACACAGCAAAGCAGTTAACCAAACATTACAGTGATTAACTAGACATTATGATAATCAACCAGATAGTACAGTGATTAATTCCCCATTGTGGGGAAAACAAGAACAGACCCACTGCTATCCTATCAAGGATGTCTTAGGATTCCACTAATTAGGGGCATCCTTTCAAGTCGGAGTACATCCGCCAGAGGCAAGAAAACAAGAGTCTGCCTACAAATAAGTCAGATCTGTGAAACTGATATGAACGCAACCCTCAGGTTCTGAAACAAGACAGACATCCATAGGGTAAACGACATCCAGAATTTTCAGTGTAAAGAAGAATTAGATACTACAATCATTAATTAAGCAGTAAAGTTTTCAAGGCTAGTCTGAACAGCAGAAAAACAGAATTAATGGTATTTACAAAGAAACTGGACCCCCCGAAATGCAAAAAAAAAAAAAAGACAAATCTCAAGCAAGGTGATATGTTTAAGTACTTGGGTACCCTGATAACATCAGATGGAAGAAAACTATGGTGGAAGATGTATTAAAGAAGTTAAATGTAGAATAGCTCAAGCAATGTTAACAGTTTACAAACTGAATAAAATTCTATGCGATCTTTCTTTGTCAATTGACACAGGAACGAGAAATCTCAAAAGCTTTTTAAATTGTATCCTGATAGATATATCAGGGGCTATTGATAGACTTGTGAAAAATCATTTAGAAGCTGCAGAGATGTAGGTTTAATAGACAAAAAGAGTAATGAAGACTCGAAAGAAACTAACTCATAAAGAGAATTGATTGCCCACATCAGAAAGAGACAATCTACATTCTTTGGTCATGTCATGAGAAGGAGAAAACTGGAGTATACAGTAGGAACATTTTAGGGAAGGAGAGGCAGAAGGAGACCAAGAGAAAACATGTTGGACAGTCTGACATCATGGTATGCAAGATAATCTGGGTCGGAGCTGACTGAAAGAACACGAGACACAAGGTTGTAAACAGATACGATTACCAATGCAACACAGCATGTACTTGAAGGAGAGGATAGCCATGCACCAGACACTTCAGTGTTAAAAACTATACCCGACAGTAAAGGACCAGACATGGTGGGATATCAGACGACTTGTACAATAAACAAGTACACGTCTAACTGTGAGCCAGTAGTGAGCCAAAATAGTACTGTGGCTAGATGCTCGCCTAGTGGGCCAAAGACCTAGGGTTCAAATCCACATTCGGGCATATTTGAGGGGAACCCCCCCCCCCCCCCCCCCAAAAAAAAAAACAGCAGTGACTCGACACTCACCTGGTGAGCCAAAGACTCAGGGTTCAAATCTGCACTGTGGTTTTTAAAAAAAATGACAATGGTAACCCAGTCTAAAAAAAATAAGGTCTGGTGCTATATACCAAAAGGTTGAATGTCCTTTACCAATACAGCACAGAGCTCCAGTGTCATAATTTCTTAACCCTGTCACCCAATTAAAAATTATTTTTTTCCCTTCAAAAATTTACAAAGGTTGCAAACAAAAACTATACATTTGTTAACTGTTTCAGAAATATATGCAGAATTTCCATTAAACACAAACAGGGTGAAGCTGTCACACCCTTGCTGTTATAATCTAATGCTATACTATCATCATACTCTACTTTTGCTGCCACAGTGCAGTGATTTTGGTCACAGGCATGAGGGAAGTTAGGGCTGCTGTGAAGTGTCAAGGAGACATTCCGCACCTCAGTTTGAGCGCCAGCAGGCTCTGTGCTGTTTTACACACTCTCATGTAAGACTCCTGCCATACGTCCCTGTAGCAGGGAATCTCAGAATTGGTGGCCCTCAGAAATACCCAGCCCACCCACAATACATGGGTTAGAACATCCATTGAAACATGAGTGCAGCCAGCTGGCCGAATATTCTACAATACAACAAATCTTGGTGCAAACATCGGCCAAGTGCCCTACGGCATAACAGTGAAGTTTGAGATAACTTCCAGTCAGGTGTTGTAATCAGCCGAGCAGCCACCAAACAGCAAGCTCGATAGGCATGTTTTTACCCCTTCGCATTTTTATACTCAGGGCGTCTTTGGCCACTCTGGTCTAGCAATGCTTTAAAAGAGAAAGAATCCCTGTGAACATTCCTGACAAAAATATCCTTATGGCAAATCCATCACTGACTGCGGAAAACTGGTGCACAGCATTCACATAAGGAAAGATACACATTTCTTAAACGCAGGCTTCTTATGCTACAGTCAGTCTACATTGCCTCTACAAATACGTTAACTAAGCTGATTCAAAATATAAAAGATAAGCGATGAACATAGCAAGACTTATTTATGTAACATTTCAGTATATTAAAAAAAAAGATACACAACCACTAGAATAGAATCAGTTACAAAGTTAAATAAAAATGAAGAAGATAAAATATCAGTCTCCCCCTTTATGGAAGACAACAAAGTTACAGATATGTACAGTAGCAGGGGAGGCCCAAAGCTCACTATATACATGTGTTCAGATCTACAGATTAAAAAAAAATGTCATTTAACAGAATATGTGCCTGTGGGATGTTTGTCATTTTAGCTTTTATTTAAAAACAACATCAGGACGGCACAGGGCAGCCAACTAGGGCTTCAGCGTTTGTTGGCAAAAAGTGCAGAAGGGACAACACTACTGCGACAGTTTGGCTCTCTCAGGCCAGTCTGAAAAAGAAGAAAACTATGATGTAAATAGAAATTTTATCTTGATCTAAATGATGTAAAGCAAAGCCAATCACAAGTTACTTTTAAAATGTCATTTGGAGAGGCAAATGATAAACAGTGAAGTGATAACCGCTTCTCTAGAATGTATCTTCTATAACTCTTATCATGTTCAACACAGCAAACACAAACAAATTCATATGAATAAACAAACTGCTTCAAAAATAAACAATGCTCATAGGTTAAAATGCTACTCCTGTTTCACATTCTATTTTCAACAATATTTACTAAACATATGATTGTATAAAATATAACGACGAATGAAATTTAACGACAAAAAAAATATTTGAAATGCCTCAATGGGTGTCTGAACTTAAACTAATCAGGCTGGTGACAAGCATGTTAATTATCACACTACTTTATGCTCCAGACTCTGAAAGTAAGCTGGGAACAGTCTAGGAACACAAAAAGCGCAACGAAAGCTGAGCTCAACTGGCTGCATTAAAAAAGCACATCAACATTAACCTATTAAGGAGGCAAACTAACAAGATGTGGCCTGCATGTGCTAGATCAACTAACTTCATTGAACATGCCTTAACAGTAAAGGTACTTTAATTGTTCTGTGTAAGTTCCGTTTAAACTTTTCTACATTTTATTGTTAATTCGACAAATCTTGACTAGTACGTGAACAGAAACAGGCGCTTGAAACAATGCATTTGAATCTATAATTGAAGAAGCTCTTTTTAAAAACTGCTGTAAAAGTGGCACTTATTTTAGACCAGCAGTTGCCATTCTTTTGACGGCTGCTTTTTTCGGGTATATTAGGGCTGACACCTGAGGGTGTGTAATGAAGAACTAAATGGACTCACAGCTTCCAGCTCACTAGAAAGATATCACCAGCTTCACTAAAGTGGCCAGGTTGTGGAGACAGATTTTGATGAATGCATCTGCCAGAATGGTGAATAACCACCAATCTGCACACAAAAAGCCAGATATAGAAAACGGATGCCCATGCAAGTCTCATGTAATTGAGCAAGACTGAAATACAAACAGATGACCAACAAGGACTTTTGGCCAGAGATCACAGCAAGCAAAAGTAGACAAAGAAACACTCAAGACTTCATAGGACACATCAGGCAGATAGGACTGCTTCAATAAACTAAAGATACATGAGTTAACTGTGGAGTTTGAATCTAAAAATTCAATTCAGCTGGCTTATGAACCAGACAAGATCAGTCATGGAAAAGTATTAAAGGATATACTAGTAGACACACATGCCTTTTCTAAGGTTGTAATAACATGGGGAGTTGCTGTAGGAACCAGATTAATGTACCCATAGAAACTGAGATAACGGCATTGACAGATCAGCATTTACGTTCAGAGGACATAATCATATACACAAATGGGTCTGTGAGGCAGTAGTCAAGGTCATAATGGGTGTATTTAGCACCTAGCAAGGGGGAACAATAAAAGAGGATAGTAGCAGCGCAAACCAGACAACTACATCAAGCATGACCACTGAGATAATTAGACCACTAGCATGGGCAGCAGAACAGGTAGTCATACACGCTGTAAACCTATCAGACATGCTTCAGAAAATTGCAACAGGTAGCACTGCGCTCTGAATGGGTAGAAAGCATGAAAAAATGGCGCTTAACCTTCCTCATCTGGATCTACACACTATTTATGTAAGCTTAAAAGGTAATGAGTGAGCAGACCAGCTGGCAAACAGTGTACCAAAGCTTGTAGGAAGAAGCATGAACAGAGCAGACATCAACGCTGTACAGACTGGGCTATTGGATAATAATGAACCTCTGACACTAACATAATTGCGTAATCCGGGAGTAAAGCCTGGTGAACACTTCTATGCCACTTATAAAAGACATCGACTGCGATAACATAACTAAGTATGAAATCTGGTAATATATCAACTGACATTATAATAATACTTGAATGTGTAAAACTGCTTTCATTATGAATATAAAATTACTGATAATAAATAAAACAACAAATACACCAAGCACAAATTTACACGATCAAAAGCGTACAGCAAAGTCGTTGTAGGATCCATGGGAAGCCAGGGTAGAGCTGTGTTCATCACTGCTTACCGTCGTGTGGGAGAACAAATCTCGGGACCTGTGCTGGCTGCTGCTTAACTTGCGCTCTGTGGCGGCCTTTTTCATCAACCGCACTGACCTCCTTTTCTTTACCGAGGTGTTATGTGGTGTCTGCAACAGGCATCATTTTAATGCAGGGTTCCTTGTAACAGTTTGTGCTAGGTGACTAACATGAAGAAACACTAGTTACACATTAAAGAACGATGACTAATCCGGAGATGATACACTTCTGCGGAAGGATGTGATGCTGGGAGGACCCCCCCCCCCCCCCCCACTTCCATATTATTTTAAAATAACATTATAGTAAGTAAAAGTAAGTAAAGGACCCTTTTTCACGCCTTTAGGCGTATAGGGCATTTAGGGCTAGACCTATATTTTTATAGACCAATCGGCACAAGATGGGTGATGTGGTCAGCATCATGCTGGCCGCCTTTACTTCCCGGGACTGCACCCGGTACCTACTCAAGGCTGGGTCAACTTGGGAGCCAAGGTCATTTTTAAAAAAAAGTCCGGCTCCGTCAGGGAGTGAACCCACAACCTTCTTATCCATGGCGAGCACAAAAAAAAAAACATAGAGATAGATAAAATAAACTGACAGATGCAATTACAGCAGGAGTGTATGAAAATAAGGGCGGAGGTGGAGGGGAGGACGGACACTATATAGATACACACACACACCAAACAGATACGTTGACACAAATCGGATGGAACAACAGGGAGTCATTTATGGTAAGATACTCATATGATTCAATTGGAAATATTCAGTGTAGTCTCCTCTGCTAGGGTAACAAAATATGAACTTGACCAACACTTTCATGGTGATAAAATAATGAGTCAAATTCGATTTTAAAACTCACAACAACAACATACATATAAACATTACAATATAACTAGCTAATAGTGAAGTTATATATGCAGGTTAAGAAAATGCCATCACATAATGTTTTATGGAACTAAGCCTCAACAACAATAACTGTGAGCACACTTTTTTTTAAATTACTAAAAAAGCAATAGATAGAAAGCAGACACAAACCTGAGCAACCAATACTAGTACACATTTAAGCATAGGAAACAAACCATAAAACATAACAAAGACTACCTTGCAAGTAACAATAATTTAAAATACATGTACAATAAAAATAGGGTACAAGGATGCCATAAAAACAAAAGGACTGAAATTTATAAAGCCTTTATGCTAATCTCATGCAGCATCAAAAGCTGCTCTAAAGAAAATAATATGGTCATAGAGAAAATGTTTACCATGGACTTTGTTACATGGATGGGAAAACACAGGAAGGGAATTGCATGAGATGGCAGCAATGGTGCTGAAACCTCTGGTCATAAGGTAAAGTTTGCCAAGGCCTGAGCTGAATGGAGAGGAACAATCAAGAAATAACAGAAAAAAAAAAAAAAAAAAAAAAAAAAAAAAAAAAAAAAAAAAAAAAATGAATTTAGACAAGTTGTGAGGTGAGCATCTGAGAAGCACTTTAAAAACTTGCGATGGCAAGAATGTTCCTAAAATCCCAAGTCTGTGGAAGAGTTATCCTGACATGACAGAGCAGTTCGTACCAGTCACACCTGCCATCACCACGAGCTGTGATTCATAGCATCCCCACTTCAAAATATAATCCTTTCAACTAGAAAAATGGAAAAGTGTGCCAACAACAGTAAAGGGCACAGTGGGTAGTGCTGGATACCTTCTAAAACAGTGCTCCAGTTTCAATCCCCAGTACTGCTGTGTGGGTTCTGCGGCTATATTTTAGGGGACAAAGAATAGCCCCACTGCCCCCTATCAAGCATGCCACAAAAATAGACTAACTATAGGTGTTTCCTTAAAGCCGGAGTACACCTATGTGAGACGCAAGAAACCCAGTCTGCAAACAAATCAGCCAGATCTCTAAAACAGGTGTGTGTACAGCCTATATTCTAGGACAAGACCATCATCCAGAAGTGGACGAACAACCAGAACTTTCTGCCAGTTTACAGCTGGTAAACATGAAAAATGTAACAACCAGTACGGCCATGGGGCAAACTTAACCTCTTACAAATGGATACTACACGGTTTCCCGAAAGGTCTGAGAAGAGAGGTGACCATGAATTATGTAACCTAGAACATGTGCAGATCTAACAATTTCCATCCCATCGACTGCTATAGGACCTCATTGCAGTCCAGTTCTGTTAAAAGCATGTGGGGAAGAGAGACCCACAGCTCCGTAACTCTTTCAGTCCCAAGGAATTATTACTGCTTTACTTTATAACCCAGTGTGTGGGCTTTAGAGAAACAATCGCTGCATCTTAATGAGTTTAAATGAATGGGGCAAGACAGCAAGATTTACATACATCACTATTTTCCCCATTAGGGTGCCAGGGCCCCACTGTGAGGAAAACAAGAACATACACACTGCCATATCACAAGAATTGATCAATTGGGGGTGGGATTTCTTTCAAAGTCAGAGTGCATCTTCCCAAAGGGCAAGGAACCAACAGCCTGCAAACAAATAAGTCAGATCAGTGCTTTATTAATATCCTACCCAAACAGGGGAAATCCACAGGTCACAGGACAGTCTAATATTTCAGGGGGTAGTAGATAGGCTGTCCTCTCTTGTGAGACGTAGATGGGTTTGGGTAAGGGTAAGTTATAGATGTTTTGGGGTTGTTTAAAGCACCAGAAAGCTGGGAAACCCAGTCTTACCACCCTCTAAAATTGTATACTGTCCAGTGACGTCAACTGGGTTAGGATATTTATAAAGCACCGCCAGATCTGTAAAATGGATGTGCGTACAACACTCAGGTTCTAGAATAAGACTAAATTCTGGAAGTAGATAAACACCGAGAACTTTCTGCTGGAGGTTACAGCCCATGAACGTGAAGATGAAATGACAATTTGAGGCTGAATGGTTAGCATAAGAGAAGCTTTAAAAAATTTACTACGGTAGAGTAACCAAGGAACAAATGATGCTCTGCTTGGTACTAAAGGAATTAACAATAATGTCACGCGACCAAAAAAAAAAAAAAAAAAAAAAAAAAAAAAAAACTACTACTACACAAAAAAGTTAAATGGAGGAACACTACAGGGTAGACCAAGAAGATGATGGAAAGACAACATACAAGCAGACCCTACAACCAACTGGAGTTAGCAATCATTAAAAAAAAAAATCAAAAGAGACAAATAGAGGTAGCTGACATGGAGATTCTGGCAACACAGAATGATATTAACAAAAACTTGAGAACGGGGATTGTAAAAAGACATGAGTTGAAATGTAGGGGAAGTGCTCAATAAAATGATGCTTCTCCTATGTGGGTTCCAGGATCCCATTTGGGGATGGGAGGGGAAGAGAAGAGGAAACAACAGAATCAATGCTTCTTCTTAGTATTCAATTCACAAGTTGTAAAATCGGCCAGAAAGTTCTGGTTGTCAGTCCAATCCTGGAATCCTGGACTAAGGTCTGGATCCAAACTTGGAACTTTTGTGGTCATTACTTTTCCAGTACTGGCTAATCTGTGTGCAGAATGTTGGTTCCTTGTCTCTCAGGCAGATACACTCCAACTTTAGTGGCAATATCCCTAATCAGTTGCCCCCTGGGACATGCTTGTTAGAGGCATGGTGGAAAAGCATGCTGTAAAAGGCGACTAATGAAAGATTTGCTGAAAATGGAATGAGTTGAGCCAAAAATATCACAGCCTAACTGTAAGCTACAATGCAATGTGTCAACCGCCCCTTTTTCAGGTGAAAAAAAAAAAAAAAAAAAGACTGTCACAAAATGCTAAATACAAGATGCAGCCTAATACTGACATGCTATTTTGCTCCTGGCATGCACATAATCAAAAATGCCAAAACAAATTCATCTGCAACTTACCAATATTATCAACTGTTTTTAACAAAGAAGAACATACATCAACTTGTTAGTGAACAAACAATTTAGCAAATACAATCAACACTTGTAGAAGCACAATGTACTGGGCAAGTTTACCTTCGATGTGAAAAGTGGTTGCCTGGTATATGGAGAGGTCAACATTGTACTGTGTTGGAATCGGCTCAGGTTAGGTAACTTACTAGTTGTGTTAGGTGTCTTTGTCATGTCGTTCATCTGTGAGGCATGTACATGTACATGTAATGTTAGCTGTTAGTAGCAGAAATTTCTAATATTTTTTATGTTGCTGAAAAAACGTTAACAGTTTTAGTTAACTGAACAAGAAAATTGTGTTGCCGCTCTTTATGTGCGGTATTTTTTTTATTCGCGTGGTTGAAATTTATATCCTCTACAGTCCTGTTCCTTGAGTTTTCACTGACTTTCTTAGTATTTTCTCCCTCTGTTATCTTTGGTCTATTTCACTATATGTTATGTGTCTGTTACATGTAGTACGTGTTTATTTGGTCTATTCTCACTTTCCAACTTGTTAATACTAGTCTTGAAGTTTACCTGGAAGAAGTTAAAGAACCAACAGTCTGCATGCAGATAAGTCATCTGTGAAGTGGATGTGCATGCAACTCTCAGATTCTGGAACTGGACTAAAGTCCAGAGGTAGCCAAACAGCCAGAACTTTCAGCCGTTCACAGTCGATGAATGCAAAGAAGAAGAAACTAAGACAATGAAAAGGATTTTCAAGTAAGTGGTTGAAACAAAACTTGGCATAATACCAGCAAACTAACAAAATAAAACACAAGGACTTGCATCATGCCTGTTAAATAAAAAGGATTGAAACAAACTGTGGGTAATTTTAATTGCTAAGAAGAAAATCAAAACTTGAAAGACAAAATGTTACAAAAGAAATTTAACAATGAACCAATCATAAGAAAACAATATCATGCAATGTAAACTGAAATACTTTGTGTATGATAAAGTAAGAGAAAGTTGACAATTGTATACAGTGTACTGCAATTGACAAAACTACCAAAATTGTTGCAGAAACCTAAAACAGGCAGACAGGGTTAAATTAGTCATAGCTCTTACAAATGGTAGCAGAGATAGCAGACATGGATACAGCAGCCAGAATTTACAGGGAGAATCATGACTTTTGCTGATGATATCTTAGTCTACACACAGGAGAGAAATAGAATAGTAATATCTAGAGAAATGCAGTTTGCGGTGGATAAGATAAGTGAGTGGTGTGAGGAAACAGGCTTGCATATCAACCCAGATAAGGCAGCAGTATTTTCGTGTTCTTTAAATAATAGAATTGAAACTTATGTGTTATCGGATATCAGAATAAACGGCAGAAACGTAAAGGGAGATAATTTACTAAAATATCTAGGAATTACTTTTAAATATCACATTGAAGATGTAGTTTTAAAGAGAGGGGAAAGGACTCAATGTTTTGAAGGTGAAGACATCAGTGTACATGGGACAAACAAAGCTCTGTACACACTACCAGCAACTGATTGTTTCGGTGATGGCGTAGGGTGTGGGACTGCTAACATTATCTGATACCCCGTGCAAGAGATGATAAAACAAAATTCATAATATATACAGATGGGTCTATCATGAAAGGTAAGAAGAGTGGGTAGGGTTTTATTGCAAAGGTGAAAGGACACTGCTTGAAAACAGTCTCGTATACAACGTCACTACATCCAGTATGAGAATGGAGGTGGAAGCAGTATTGGCAGCTTTCTGATGGTTTGGGAGCAGCACAGTCTGTCGGTGTAAATATACCAGACTCACAAAGCATGTTTAGAAAAACTGATACTCGTGACCTGCAAGCAGAAACTCTTGCATCACTTGATGAGACCCACATCAAGAGCAAATCATGTCCAGCATATTCACGTGTGAGAGGTAATGAACAGGCTGATAGATTAGCTGCTGCTCCTCTAGGCAGTGAGATACTATAAGATAAAACGGATGTGGTGAAAGCTCCATGCTATGATATGGACGGATAGGGAATCCATACACCGAAAGACTAATTCAATTGGGTGGGGGCGGGGGGAGGAAGTGCAGAGAAGAGGTTCTGAAAGAAATTCAACATTGAAGGGGAAACGAAGGCGGACTTTGTAATCACGTTGCAACTGGTATCATTAGCATGTCAACTCATGGTTAGCTACTGAAGAAGGGGATGGAGCACGTGTGGGAATGTCCTAAGTGCAGTGACATTAATTCTTGACTGATTCATTCATTCGCAGACATGTAACAAAAAAAAAAAAAAAAAAAAATCTTGCATGTGACAACAAATGAGCAGGAGAACTGGTAATATAGTAAGCATCAGGCAGAATTTTCAGGGTAGTTTTTGCAAAAGACATGCATCATAATCCACAGGAATTTTAGGAATGACTCGGTGAGTGAACATGCAAGCATAACTGTAATGAACATTGTACTGGAACGCTCAAACATAAACTGTTAAAACGGCAACAAATCCGAGTAATAGTTACTGGTTAAAAAAAAATGTAAGTCACCATGGTACAATGAATCTTAACCTTGACTGAAACGGAAGGGCCCAGCTCAACCTGAATACAATCAAAGTAGAAGAGTAGATGCAGTGCTACAACTAATGGTGGTGGCATTATATGCAGAAGTCACAGCTGGAATAACGAAGCACAAACACTTCAATAATGCAGTATTTGGCCAGTAATGTCAACCAAATAAAATTTATGTTGGTATAAAATAAAAAACAATTATAGTGTATAAAATATGTCTACTAAATGAACTAACAATCAGATTTCCTCAGTAGTACAGGAATAGTTGTGAAATCCCCAGAAAACTGGCTACTGTATAAAGTATACAAAATAAGCTTTGTTGACTAAGGATGGGGCCAGACTTTCTTAAGCTTACTACCATCAAATGATACAGCAGTTTATTTTTTATTTTTTTAATGTCTGGCTGACTCCCCCTAATGATGACCTGGAATCCTAACAACATTAGATAGAAAAAAAAAATTATGCAGCAGCCTTCTGTCCAAAAGTTGAATGGAAGCAGACATCAAGGCAGACCAAGAAGATGGCAGAGACATAATATACAAGCAGACCCTTCAAACACTAGAGACAAAAAAAAAAAAAAAAAAAAACCCACACAATCAGAGAGATGAATAGAGGCAGTTGACGAACGAATCTCAAGGGCTCGGGAGAAAGAAGTTTTTTTTAAAAAAGAGACACGAAAAGGCTCAGAGAAAAGATGCTTGTAATTCTGGCATCATTTAAAAGGGGATGTATACACCTTTAGTATGCATACATAAAAGAAAAAAGATTTACTGATAAGTGTGCATTCTTATATGTCTGTCTCCATTACAGAGAAAAATAAGACCCACATATGACACCTTGAAACTGTAAAATTATCTGTCTTATCATATTTTACTAAACAATGACAACAATATCAGCACACACAAAATTTAGATCTAGAACCAATACTAATAGTGTAATAACTTTCATCAACAATAATTTTGTCTGGTGACCTGCCATTTTCACTTTAAACCCCCCCCCCCCACCTTAAAAAAACCAACAACATATCTTTTCAACTGAAAGGATTAAAACTAAACAAAACCAAAAACAGGACTTGCCAATACATACCTTATTATTAGTTTTTAACGGTGTTTTAATTGGTGTGACTGTGAGAGGTAGCCTTCGTTTACTTGGAGTCTGTGAGATGGTCTTACTCCCATACAACATTTCATCCTGCGTCTGCTTGGCACGTGCTTTCAGCTGTGGATTCAATTTCTTAAAGAAATTAAACAAATGCATTATAAACATTCATACAACGTATTTCAAGATGGAGACTTCAATGACCATCACAAACGTTTAAACCCCCCCCCCCCCCAAATTTAAGCATAAACTGAAATTTTGCTGTATTAAATTTTACAATCTACTTTGTTTATCCGAGGACATGATTGTGTTGTGCTTGTTTACAGCAATATTTATGCCTTTCAACAGACACATCCAGCTTCAGGCATCACTTCCTAGTAATAAACAAAGAAGATTTGAAAGACTATTAAAAAGAAAATCCTGACAGCAAAATTGTGATGGTAGTTGTAGCCCATACTTCTGGCGATGCAATCATATTTCTTGTAAAGAGAGAAAAAAAAAATATATCATTTTAATACTGTATGCGTACTAGTGCATATCCCCTACTTCCCAATGTGGCTTCCAGGGCTACATTGTGCCCCCCCCCCCTCACAAACAAGCACGTTGTCAGAGTAAACGAAATAGAGGTTCCATCTAAATCAAAGTACATCTGCCTGAGAGGCAAGAAACCAACAGTCTGCATAAAAATAAGTCGGATCTGTAAACAGGATGTGCATGCAAAACTCAAGTTCTGGAAGAAGACCAAAATCCAGAAGTGGACAAACAACCAAAAACTTCTGCCAGAATTTACAGAAGAAGATATCCACTACCAATGCTCACTGATCCCGCCACAGGCCAGAACATAGCAGTGTACTTCCTTGTGGGAATAGTATTCACCTTAGAGATCTAATGCCAAACTATGCTGACATGCAAAGACACAGCACATGGTCATGACCTCAAATCAAATCTCTAACTTCAGGTTATTTTTGTTCAAACTGTTTATGGCTTCCCATAGGAAGAAACAGTATAATCCTTACCCAAAAATTTAAAGAAGTGTTGAATATTAATTGGATTATTGTTTATGCAATTTGACCTTAGTGATGTAACAGTAAAAATAGGCACAGGAAATATGTGCTCATTTAATATAGAAGCTACCCTGTGGGTTTCGGGACACTTTGTGGTGGAATCAAGAACAGACCCATAATCTCCCCGACAAGCATGTTGTAAAAGTCGACTAACTGGGGCTTCCTCCGAAGTTAAGAGTGTATCTGCCTGAGAGATACAGAACCAACAGTGCAAACAACATTCAGGATATGAAACAAGAGGTGGATGAACAACAAGAACTTTCTGATGGAGTTTACAGCTGGTGAACATGAAGAAGAATATAGAAGCTGGGTAAGAGTGTTAACAAACTGAATTGTGCATTCAGATTTACAAAGAAACTTTTAACATAAGAACAGTCAAACAGGATATTAAAACAAAAATTATTTAACATAGAGACAAAGGAAAGTTTTATTTACTGAGACATCCCATGTAAATATCGAATGATACTGATTATTCTTAAGTAGAACATGCTAGAATCATTAGTCTATCAGTTTTTGAAAATACATCTCTGTGCATCATAAATTTTTGTGTTCTGTTTATGGATAAAGTCGTTAAAATATTCTATAGCTGTGTGTGTGTGTGTGTTTTCTTACATCCAGCCTATCATCCAAGGTAGATTTTGTACACATTGAAGCTGTGAAAACATTGCATTCACACTTGCAAAATATCTATCACCATATTTTGATAGTACTTCTTACCCACACAGGACTGCAGGTTACAAAAGGCTGGTACCCATCTAGACCGAGATTGTGTAATCTCAGAGTGATGAAACTTTCAGGTAGCTGCACGGAGGGACCAAATGGATGGAAAGAATACTTTCTTCCCTCTTCTTGTTCATAGTTGCAAACTCTGGTTGTCCACCACCCAGTTATTTTACTGATCTGACTTATTTGTATGCAGATGCACTCTGACTTCGAAGGAAACCCCCAGTTAGTCTATACTTGTTTTCTCATGGTGAGGCCCCAGAAACAACTCGGGGAAACCTCTTTCAATCTTACAGACTTTCTAACACCTGTTAAGGACTAGCTCTCTTTGTATCTAAACCAGTTACTAAATCACTTTATAAAAGAACTTTACTAAGAACGGAACTGCGGCTGAGGATAGAAAACTCGGTAGCACTGCGACAATTATTTAAGGATAGATTAATTATTAATAATAATAATAATAAAAAAAAAATTTAAAATAACTTACGCGTGACTGTTTCTGCTGCTCCTTCTGCAGCTGAAAATTCTCCCATTGATTTTTCAAAAATTCCTGAAACTTCATTCCATCTACTAAAAACTCTTTTTGGTTTTCAAGTTCCCATTTCTGAATTGCTTCAGCTACCTCCTCTTCTATCTGAAGAACAAAAACAATATTCAGCACTATTAATTTTACTGATGAAGTAGACAAGAGAAATCACTATATTTTTGGGACCAATGAAGTGGTTCACTTGAAACGTCATGGAAGTCTAGAGAAAACAATAATGGAGGGGTATATGCCTGGGAAGAGAGGAAGAGGAAGGCCAAGGAGAAGATGGGTGCAGGATGTGGCAGATGATCTCCAGATGGGTGTATCAGATGCAGGACATCTTGCTCAAGATAGGAAGGTTTTCCGGAGGGTTGTTATGGCAGCGAGGTTTTGCGAGGGACATGCTACTGAATGAATGAATGAAGTGGCAGACAAAATATGACAAAACATCCAGTGATTCTTCTTCAAATGTCTTGCAATGGGCAGACTACTGGTGCACTACAGTACAGTAAAACTTAAATTAACTGTCACTCATGTAACCATCAGTTTCTGTCACCTGTCATCAATGTTCTGTTACCTGTCATCAATGTTCTGTCAAATGTCATCAATGTTCTGTTACCTGTCAAAAATGTTTTGTTATCTGTCATCAATGTTTTATCACCTGTCAAAAGTGTGTGTGTGATATCAGACATCTTTAAAATTGTCTACAGATTACTTTTACACCCTACTGTATCAAGCTGGAAGTGACTAATTGTCTGTAGCAGAGGAGTTGAGCTTCATCTGGCGCGCCACAAACCCATCACTAACTAGTCGCTACTGGTCTCAGTTGTGACATTTCTGTACATTACTACTGTTATACAGACATTTATATTGATCGTTTTGTAAAATTAAACACAACATGTATGCATTTTATTGTCATTTTCGTCTTAAGCCAGCAGTGAAATCGTGTTACTGCACATATGTATTCAGAGATTTCTGTTATCTGTCACAACCCTGGTCCAGATGGCGACATTTAATCTAAGTTTGACTGCATGTAATTTAGACGGATTGAAGTGAGATAAAGATAAACACAGAAAAAGAAAAGATAGGTAGAATATCAGTCAAATGAATCTGCACTTATGTTTTTAAAAATGTAACCTCTGCCTGTAGGGGTTGCAGAACACCATATGTGGCGGAGGAAAACAAAAGAACAGACTCCCGGCCACTGAAACATAAAATGACAGTCGATTACCTAGGTATATGCTGAATTCAGATGCACTGGGCCGAAAGGTGAAAATATCACAGCCATGCTTTAAACAACAATAATTTTCCCTTTTCCCAAATTCCCTTTTAAGGGCTGACGTTGAGAAAGAAAGCGTAACATTTAATCTAAGTTTGACTGCATGTAATTTAGACGGATTGAAGTGAGATAAAGATAAACACAGAAAAAGAAAGATAGGTAGAATATCAGTCAAATGAATCTGCACTTATGTTTTTAAAAATGTAACCTCTGCCTGTAGGGGTTGCAGAACACCAAATATGGCGGAGGAAAACAAAAGAACAGACCCACGGCCACTGAAACATAAAATAACAGTCGATTAACTAGGTATATGCTGAATTCAGATGCACTGGTCTAAAAGGTGAAAATATCACAGCCATGCTTTAAACAACAATAATTTTCCCCTGTAAGGGCTGACGTAGAGAAAGAAAGTGTAACTTCACCCACAAAAGCATCAAATGAAGGTTGTAGTATAACAAAGGAAGTGGTTATATTTTCAGATTGTATTCACTCCACATTTTTAAAATTATTTTTGTCAACATTTTGTAAACAGACAGCAGTCAGTGGCATACAATCTTCAGACTTTGACTATCTAAGCATGATTTAGCAGTGCCCTGCTGCCTTGGAGTCTGGTCAGCCTAAAGAGCCAAGAAACACACATAAACCATCACTTGCCAGCCTCTTTGCCTAGCGCTGTTGCAAGTTTATGTGCCTTGTCGACATCACTTTCCCATGTCAGCCTACGTGCTAGTCGCTCCCGGCTTCTCATTTCAACAATTATGCTATCTCCATCACATTCCTTCTAAGTTACTGCGGGGTAATTCAATCTGACAGGTTATTTCACTTTTGGGGACAACAGTAAATGCTATGGGCTTACCTCCACCTTATAGAGTACTAGATTTCTTTTGAAAAAATTAAACACAAAACAAAAGTACATGACAAACCTTTGGTAAATCTTTCATAAGTTTCTTGCGAGCCTTTTCCTCCTGCAGCAACTTGCCACCTCTGTCATTGAAAAACCTGTTTGGATCACTTGCCTTGTCCTGAATATAAATGTTGACAAGCCTGTTTAGCGATTAGACACTGTTCTGGAGAAACTTCTCAACAACGACAAAACAGATGTAAGTTGTTAAAATCCAAGCATTATAATGGTAAAGAAATTATTAGTGCCCTACCGATACGTGTGATCAGTCTGAATGAGAATAACAGATATTAAAAATCACAAAACTCTTATAAACCCACATTAAATAAAAAGTTGAAGGAAAGCGAGCAAGAGGTAGACAGCGCTACAAGTGGTAGGATAACATCAAGAGAAATTATAATATTCCTATTTTGCGTTTTCCTATCATTTCTAAACTGACCAAGACTACCCATTTCTTCTACCGCTGCTTCTTTATCTCCAGTTTCTGAGGGTAGTGTTTAAGAGAATTATAATGATGCATTTGTTTTTAATAATAATGATAAAAATCTTATGTGGTGAAAGCGTTAAGTGGGAACAAACAATCACACCGGTGAAAGCGTCAAATGAGAACAAACAATCACATTGGTGAAAGCGTCAAGTGGGAACAATCACATTGGTGAAAGCGTCAAGTGGGAACAATCACATTGTTGAAAGCGTCAAGTGGGAACAATCACATTGGTGAAAGCGTTGAGTGGGAACAAACAATCACACTGGTGAAAGCGTTGAGTGGGAACAAACAATCACATTGGTGAAAGCGTTGGGTGGGAACAAACAATCACATTGGTGAAAGCGTTGGGTGGGAACAAACAATCACACTGGTGAAAGCGTTGGGTGGGAACCAACAATCACACTGGTGAAAGCGTCGGGTGGGAACCAACAATCACATTGGTGAAAGCGTTGGGTGGGAACCAACAATCACATACCTCAAACACTATCATGTTGGCAAAGTACTCCTGTCTGCGTGCTATCTTCTCCAACAGGTCTCTGTGTGTGTTGTAATATTGTTTCACATTCTTTAGCTCCAGTTCATGGGCAACTAGCAGCTCCTCTGTGTAGTCATCTTGATAGAATAACGAAAAAATCCACCAACACAACATTATCATCAGCTCAAGTGCAATTTTGGAAGCAGTTTAGCATTTAAGTAATTTTTAAAACCCCAAAACGTCAAAAATTACATCACCAAATGATAAGGGTTGTGTCTCCTGGGTTCAGGGGATGTTGGTTTGAATCTCAACAGAGGAATGGGCACATTTAAAAGTACTTATAGTTTCCAATATTACAAATCTCTCTCTCTCTATAAATATATAGATCTTCAACACTCTGTCTCTTGTCCGGGTTGTACACTTCCTCAGAACACTTTTTCTTCGTATTATTTTCTCTACTCCTGGAATGCCATCAGGGCAAGAAAAGAGAGAGATATATAAATAAGTATGTGAATATGAACACTAAAAGAACACAGTACAATGCAATATTCTTACCAATGCTATGCTATCAATGTCAAACATGGACATTGCCTTTCAAACAAAGAACAAAAATAGTATCAACAGAAATGAAATGTTTACATACTATGCTAGGTGTAACGAACGAAGAAAGATCGACTTAGGAGAGTCGGCACAGAACCAGTACTGAACTTCAAAGGTTGACAACAAATCAAATAGTCTGGCCATGTAAGAAGATTGGCACACACAAAAAAAAAGCCCCACAGAGAGCAATGATATTCAGATACAGCTGTAACAGAGCCAGAGGTCCACTCACAGAATAGAGACAGCAGAAATATCAGGGTCATTGAATACTTTATTCAAAGCGAACAGAAGGTCCAGTTTCAGGGATCTCTTCCTTTCCGGACGGTGCAAGCATTCCAGGAGTCGAGAAAAGAAGAAAAAGGCAGTCTGAGAGAGTGTACAACCAGGACAAGAGACAGAGATCCATTGCAGCCCACTTTCACCATGGATGCAGCAGCTGATTGGCTGACTGAAACACCTTCCCACACGATCATAGAGCACTTACTGCCTGACAAGTATTCTGCACCTGACATCATTTTGACAATGTCCACGTGATATTCACACAGGTATGTGTTATGCTACTTAGGTTGAAAATTGCACCCAGGCAGAGTCTTGAAGTTTTGAGCTCAAACATCTTTGTAGAACCTAAAACCAGCGTTATTCAACCCATGGGAAAAGTCCCAGGTGGGCTGCCAGCAGTCTCTACCTAATCATGTAACGGGGTCGAGTAGGTAGTTATTCTCTCCCCACATTGCAGTCTGTTGGATCAACACCTCCAAGTTGAGAATAAAATAGGTACACATCCCGGAAACTATGTTTAACAGCATCAAACAGTTTTTAACAGCCAAACAGGGAATCAAATGTTACAGCGCTTCACATATATGAACAACGCCCCAGCCAACATATTGACTAACCTCTAAGCAGCAGCGGATGCCGCATTACTTGAAAATTGTCATTTTGTGACGACAGATCACTCACTTTTCCACACAGCCAGAACATGTATAATGGTTTTATTAGCTATTTATAAATATCCCCAACAAGTGAAAACATTTTATGATCTCATTTTATGAGTCTGTGCCTTGTGCATTACAAATATGCTTTGAAATGCCGGAGTATCGGGTTTAATCCTGGCTGCATACGACTAACTCTGCAGAGTACACTGTGTTGGTTTTGACCACAGTATCGAGAGCTGACCAGTGTTTTATGGGTGGCACTAGCTTTTGTTATTCTGTGTGAAAGTACAATGTCTTTAATAATGTCTATCCATATCCTGCTTGGGTGTTCTCTTGCTCCTTTGTAAAATTTTCTAAGGAGTTGGTAACTGGCGTTGCATTCTAAACCATCTTGTCTATTATTTCTAAATGATTTTGGAACAAGCTGTTCTGACAATTTGTCTGACTGGACTGTTTCCTACTTGGTCTAGGACAACTAAATGAGCCATGTAGTTCAGGCATCTCCTCTCACAAAAATCCAGTTTGGGTTCTAGGGCTCCATTTCGGAGAACAAAGAACAGACTTACCACTGCCCTCATTAACAATCATCGGAGTGCATCTGTTTGAGAAGCAAGGAACCAACAGCCTGCATACAAATAAGCCACATCTGTAAAATGGATGTGAACACACAAATCTCAAGTTTTGGAGCAGGACCAAACTCCGTAAGTGGACGAACAAACTAGAATGTTCCGCCGGAGTTTAAAGCCGGCAAATGCTAAGGAGATCTCATAAATGGTGATTTAAAGCACAGAAGATCTTGACAGTGTTCTTGATTAGCCCAGGTAGCATAATCATGCAATGTGATCAATTCTGTAGCAACCGAAAATGTAATTTAACAGTAATTGATAATTACCTCCATTGTAGGCTGTAAACCTGGCTCTCTGTTCTTTGCTGAAGTAACATTTATCCCACCAGGAAATCAGCTCATGGCGGATACAGTCTATAAACCTGTGCAGGTTCTGAAACTTCAACAACTCACAAGCTTGGATCTCAGCTCTCAAAGCAGATATGACTTTTGACCCATGCCCTTTGAGGCTGAGTTCAAATCCTTCTCGATCAATGTCAGGAGTCTCTAATCGGTCCCACAATGCTCTCAAAGTATCCCATAAGTCACTAGTTTCACGCTTCATGTCACGGTCTTTCTCTGCCAACTAGGGAGAAAGAAAGATTGAAAAATATAAGAAACTGCATTGTCACATCTGTACTCAAACACAGAAACAAAGTTTAAGTTTATAGTCATAATTTAAAAAGTTTTAAACAAAGTTTCATTTCTATGTCCAAGAGTGAGTTCTGGAGATCTATTGTTAGCGAAAAAAAAAAAAGAATAGACTCACTGCCTACCCAATAAGCATGTCACAAGAGATGACCAACTGGGGGCTTCCTTCGAAGTCAGAGTATATGCCTGAAAGGCAAGGAATCAACAGTCTGCAAACAAATAAGTCAGATTTGTGAAACGGATGTGCATAGAACACCCAGGTTCTGAAACAAGACTGAAGTTCAGAGGTGGAAGAACAACTAAAACTTTCTGCCTATGAACGTGAAGAAGAATTTGTAAAGAATAAAATAATACACATGAACAGAGAAGGGACTTCTATGATGAATACAAATGAGCAACAGCGAAAAGACTTAGATAATAAGGCACCAGGCATAATAAGATGAAGGATTGGGAAAACCGAACTGAGCAAACACTAAAAAATTCTTCTTCCCTTTATACTCCTGCCACACCCCCCCCCCCCAAATAATGTATCTTTGAAAGCATGTGTACCAGCCATTATTCTACTGTGCAGAAAAGGAAAACAATAGTTCCAATAATAACAAATGTGCAAGTCACAGGAACTGAAATCCAAAACAAGCAAGAATAAGGCACTTTTAAGTGAGTTTCACAATGTAACAATGTGAACTATCAGACAGCTTGAATGAACATTACAAGTGGGTAGGGCCTCCTGAGCAAAGAATGCCAACCCCTACTTGATTCATATATTTGACAAAAACATCTGCACTTTAAAACAGAAGTGAAGTAATGGCTAAGCAAGTACACAGTAATGTTGAATAAATAAACAAAGTGCATACAGAACTGACAAAAAAAAAATAACATTAGTGCTGATAGAAAAATGTGTGCTCTGCTGTCATGTTATAATAGCAATTACAGTCAAAGCGCTAAAATCCATTAAAGTAAAATTCCTTCAAAGTAGCAGCGTTTATGCCTGAGAGGAGAGGAACCAACAACCTGCTTATAATTAAGCCAGATCTTGCAAACGCGATAAGTTTTAGAAGAAAGGCCAGAACTTTCTACCTGAGTTCACAGCTGGTACATGCGAAGTAGAAAGAAGAAGTAAAATAAAAGTTAACAAACTACGCAACAGACCTCATCACACAAATGTTTCAAATTGTCCATATTTTTGGTAGACAACCCAAAATGATCATCATCTTCACACATCAGCTCACGGCCAAATGACGTGTCTGGATCCAGTTCCAAATTGTTGTACAATTCTATGATTTTCTGCTTGGTGGCTACAAATTCTGCAAACCGTTTATCCTGGTGAGTAAAATGGTTAAGTCATGCATTAGGCAAAATTAGACATCTTCTAAAATCAGTTGCAAACAGTGTCACATATGCATATGAACTCTATTTAAAAAAAAAAATGAATGAGTATTCCAATGACCAGCTGATTGTTTCGGCTGTGATATCTCTACCGTGACTCTTCATGCTAGTGTCAAACTGGGTTTCTCCCATGTGGGGAAAACAAGAAAAGACCCACTACCTCCCCAACAAGCTGGTCGTAAGAGTCGATTTGGGAGGGGTGTGTGTGTGAAACTGCATCTGCATGCAAGGCAAGGAACCAACCGTCTACAAACAAATAAGTCGGATCTATGCACACAACGCTCAGAGCTTTCCACATGGTTTTACAGCTGGTGAAAGTGAAGAAATAATTGGAATCCTGATTACATCAGTCACATCTACATGTGGTCAATGGTCTATTTCCTTCAATTAAAAAAAAATGTGTAGAAAACATGATATCTGCCTTGCTTTACCTCAGTGTTCTCTGTAGGTGGCTAGCCGGTAAGCCATTTTATTCTTATGTCAAACATGTCCTGCACAGCAGAGTCAATCAGCTGGTGAAGGTGTGATGACTATCTCAATCATTCATTCCTGACTGAACCTTCCAGAGCAGTGACCAACAGTAATGATACATATGTATGTATGTATGTATGTATGTATGTATGTATGTATGTATGTATGTATGTATGTATGTATGTATGTATATATATATATATCTACTTAAATAAATATGTAGTCATGTGTGCTGCACCAGCAAGCAAGCGGGTGGCAGGTAATGAGTGTTTGTATGTGTGTGTGTGTTTTCTTTAACTACTGCGCGTTTGAGAATGCGTGCTGAATTTTAGTAATACAGTAAGATAGTATTTTGGCTACGGGACACCAGTAGCACACATATATCTTCGTGTAGGGAGTCGGCAGTCCAAAACCCAAGTTCAAGGTGTCTCCTTCGTGCCAAAGAACTGCATGGCTGTTGGGTGAACAGTCGTTAACGAAGGCAGTCAGGTCGTTGTTGGGGCGATGCTTGCTGGTGGATGTAAAGTCCTAAATCCCTTTGTCAGCTAATTGTAGGGTACTGCTGGGGTGACAGTTTATTAACCCTCACATAATGCTTCAGGTCCAAATGAACACTAGGCACTGCCACTGTTTTGAGCCGAGGCAAATTTTTTTTTGCTTCTGCCAGACTGTGGCCGTTGCTTTTTTTTGGCTCCATTTGTAGACTGGAAGTATATAGTTTTGTTGCCCAGCCTCTGATTTGACTGCATGGCGTGACACTGTGAGCTGCTGATTTCATTTGGAATGTTTTTTGACTGACCAACGTGGTGTGATTTGTAAATTCAGAAAATGGCGCGATGCTGGTTGTCGCAATATTGGTGGGGCCATTATTTGATTAAAATTGATCGCGTGTGCAACTGCTGATCTTTTAATGACTTCTGCTACCATCAATGATGAACTGCATTTCTAACGTCGGACTGTTTGTGTTAGCACTTCGGATGACTACCATATGCTTTTAATGCGAGTGTATGCTAGATATGCTGAGAGAGCAGTTTGTCAGTCTTTCCACAAGGGACTGTGATAAACATTCTGTGTGTTTTTCGTTGGCACAGGAGCGGAGCAAAGATGGGGTGACCCGTTTGCTATGAAGATGAAATTAAAATTACCAGATTACAAGTAATGATGACTACAGTGCTTGCCTTCCTTCCATGTATGAAAGGAGTGAGGTCAGAAAAACAGATGTCAGATAAGTCTGCACGCCAGGATCTTAACATTTTAGCCAGTACACATCCAACAAAGGTCCAGATCAGATAATGGTAAAGCCATCTCACGTCATGTTTGCTGGACAAACTAAAACTAAGGTTGGTATCTTCCACATTAAGGGATTGCCTGTACCATTCTGTGCACCAGCTGCCACTCTAACAAGGGCTTTTCTCACCCTATTCAGTATTACAGTATTTCTTAATAGACCAGGGCTATTCTTCATTTATCCAAAGATCTAATTGCACTAAGGCCGTTTACATAATGGCCTTAAATTCCATTTTGATCAGCACATCTGACTTTTGCAGGCATCTGTTAAACAGGCTAGCCTTCTCTGGTGATCACGGCTATTCAATCAGCAGCACATAGACGCCTAGCAAGGGGTCCATGGGTCACTGCCAGTTGTACTGAATTAATGATATTTTTTATAGTGGAGTTCAGGCCTCTGACAATCTACATTTTCACAATTTTGGTCTCTGGGTAATCTTAGCTGAACGGCCCTATTGTAGATTAAATGGCCATCACAGAACTGAACCCAAAGGATATAGCTTATCTAAATGAGTGGAACACAGAGATGTCGGTGACAAGAAGTAGTGTGACAGCAAAGTTGATTGTATTCAGACCACCATAAAATTAATAGTGTCTAATTATTGGGGATAAAATGAATATATTGCATATGACTGGGGGGAAAAGGTCTAAATCACTCTTATTCAATCAGCAAAAAATTAATAAGAAAAAATTAACCAGAAGATTACCTTTTCCGCCTGCAAGTGAGCAACATGTTTCTCCAGCTCTCGCAGCTGTTCTACAGTGGGAACTGTTCCAGAGGGTATGTAGTAAGGAGTGGTGGATAAAACCTCACACAAGTGCTGGTCGCTGGTGTGGAGAGTGCTGTACTTGGCCAGCCTGTCTTTCTTTTCCTTGGCCATGGTTTCTACCTTACTTCTCAAAAGCTTCTCCTTTTGTACCATTGTCAGCCCTCCAGAAACCTGTTGAACAAACAGGAAACAATCAATTTTCTACTCAAAACAGAAACTTATAAACATTTATTATAAGAAGGTTACAATCATGCAATCTCATTAGGTCAGTCAATCCAAAAACACTGGTTTTGAAGTTTGATCTTGCCCCATGTTCTTCCTATTCTAAGAACTCTCTTCAGCTCAGTATGTATGTGAACGCCCTTGTAGATCTGTGTTATGGACATTGTTATTTTCTCTTGCTTCCGGTTAAAATGGACGCTAGACAGCGGCGCTGTTCGAAGCAGAGGCAAATTTTTTGCTTCTGCCGGACGGTGGCCGAAGTACTTTTGCTCCATTTGTAGACTGGATATAGTTTCGTCGCCCAGCTTTTGAGTTGAATGTATGGCGTGACCCTGTGAGCTGCAGATTGCATTTGGAATGTATTTTCGACTGTGACCAATGTGGTGGTGTGAATTGTAGATTCAGAAAATGGCGCGATGCCTGTCGTGCAATGTTGACGGCGCCCGTATGTGGTTAAAATTGATCGCGTGGACAACTGCTGAACTGTTGGCGACAAGTTCTGCTATCATCAGTGATGAACTGCATTTCTAATGTTGGACTGTTTGTGTCAGCAGTCTGTCAATCTTTCCACAAGGGACTGTGATAAACATCCTGAGTGTTTTTCGTTGGCACGGAGCGGAGCAAAGATGGGGCGACCCGTTTGCTATGAAGCTGAAACTAAGACTACCAGACTCTTGCTTCAGTTTTCGCATTAGTTTTTCTGAATTGTTTCATATAGCCAGCTAAGATAATGTTTTGGTATCATGTTCAATCAATAGTTAATTTTCTTAAATATACACTAGCTAGAAGTCTGTAAATTTGTTTCTGGAATATCACCAACGCTTTATACAACAGAAAGTTGTACCTCCGTCCCTTGATGTTCTTTTATTTATGCCTTTATTTATCTCTATCTTAGTCTAAACTGAACACTAAAGTGTCAACTGATTCCACCCTCTTTATTACATGAAACAAGTAAAGACCAACAGCCAGGACTGTTTAGTTTTGCTCACTGTAAAAAAATCATATAAAATGCACAGATAACTACAATATGGCTTTTGAGTCTAAACCAAAAATGTGCTTACCTTGTTTTGTGGTAAAGACAGCTCATTACACAGCTGCTCCAGTTTTTCTGTAAAATCTTCAATTGTTTTTGCAACTTGATTCATCAGCGCCTCCTCTTCATTAACCATGTACTGCATCAAGTTTTTCACATGGGCTACAGCAGTGTCACCCCTGGCCTTCTTCTGGCTTTCATCAATGCCCATCTTGTCCCATATATTATACAGCGCTCGTATAGAAGTGTCAATCACTTTGTTGCAGGCTATTTGAGTTTGCTCCCTACTGGGGCTCAAGTTACTGAAAGGTTAAATAATAATGCAGTCAACAACCAGTTTTAAATAGGGTATACTACTACTTCTTAGCACTCACCAGATGTAAACTCCTTTAATTGTCTGGGTTCTAGCTTTGACCCAGAGCATAAGTTTGGCATACATATCCATTTTTCAGATTTGGCTTATTTTTATGCAGACTGCTAGTCTCTTGCCTTAAGGTGGATGCATTCTGACCTCTTATTGTGAGAGGGCAGTGGGTCTATTAGTTTTGTTCCCTACAATAGGGCCAATGTGCATGATCCTGAAGTAAGGTATAAGCTTTATAAACAGTAAATAGGGACCTGGCTTTTCTCTCTGGGTTGCTTTCTGAAGGTTAGATCACCCTAAGGTTATGAACATCTCAATCAGGTCAATCCCAGATACCATGTTTAACCTTAAAAGAAGTTATAACTGAGGTACCATAAAGGCCTGCAGACTTTTGTAGGAAATAAATCTAGGGACCTTGCAGCTTGTAAAGATCACTTCAGGGAACGTCTGCTTCTGCAGAAGGTGCGAATAGGGTATTTCCAGGTCTTTCTAATGTTGCAGGGAAATGCATGATGAGTTGCGTGATACTCAGACTTTGATTTCTGTCGAACACAACATTTCTTTAAAAATCTATATCATATATTGTCCTGTTACAGCTGATGCCTAAAAATAAAAAAAATTCAACGGTTTTCCCAAGGAACAATGCATATAAACCAAACGAGGAACATTTACATTATGGCGACACACTGCAATGATCTTAATTACTGTTGTTCTCTGTGTGGTATCTAGGGCCCTCTTTTAGGGAAAACCAGAACAGACCCGCTGCCTAACCAAAAGCATGTTGTACGAGTCGACTAATCTGAAGCTTCCTTTAAAATCAGAATGCATCTGCCTGAGAGGCAAGGAACCAGCAGTCTGCATACAAATGAGTCAGATCTGTAAAATGGATGCACATGCAACAGCAGGTTCTGGAATAGGACTGCAAGTTTAGTATAGGTAATATCAAATAAACTAATGCTACACATGTTATTTGTACAGAGTGGGCCATTTCTGAATCTAACTATATTCACATACATTTTTTGAAGCAAGCAAGTAGTTATTTGTCTTGCAGACAAGCGCAGGCATCTATGGTCCACCATCTTACACAATCATGAGCCAGACATAGATTAGTTAGCTGACATATCATCTTCACTGCACATTGAACCATTCAGTTCAAAAGTGCTAGGAATTCTATGTTTGAGTCCAGCCCAGCGTTTTTAGCCTCTCGTAACATTCTTCTTAATGTTTCCCTTGAAAGTCCTTTTTCTCAGACCATTCGTTTCCCATTATAATTTTAGTAATTTTTAGTGCCTGTTTTTTAATTCTTCATCTCAGAATGTGCCCAGTATGTCTCCATCTTCTTTGTCTTATTGCAGTCAATATACTTATTAGTCCAGACATATCTCTGATCTTCTTAGTTTAAAAAAAAATTCATGCCATTTTTTTTCCAGACGCATTTAAATTTCGCTCTGTATCTTTGGTAGTTCAACTTTCACTGGCATATGTTAGGATTTACATAACGTTAGAATTGAAAATTCTTAGTACGGTCTTAAAACTATAATAAGCTGTACGTACAGTAACAACATACAATACATTACATAACATACCATGCACATATGGTCATGTATAGTATAAATAAATCATCATATGGAAAAAAAAAGAATGTTAGAATGGGGTGTGTCAACTCAATGAGTTTGCAAGCAGTCATGCATTCATTTTTGTGATCTCTGTCCTTATGGTTAACCTGTCTTAAACACCTTTAATGTGTTCACTATTGTCATACATTTTAAACGCACTCATATTTAGTAATAATATATAGTTAGTATACACATTGACATTGGGCTCGACGGCCCTCTTCTAATGTATTTGGCGCATGGTTAACATCACATTTCGTGAAACATAAAGTAAGTTTGTGGCAGGTAAGTTAAGTTACTGGTCAAGTAATCAAGGTCTGGACATTACCACTGGTATTATTAAGCACATGACATGACCGCGGGTTGAGCTTATTAAACTTTTGAGGAATTAAAAAAACAGTCATTAGTAATAATAGTAATAGTAGTTCAGTTCATATTCAGTTTAATTCAATTTACTATTTACGTAGCCCTTCTTCAATTATCCCTGCTTTGACAAAAGAAGTGGTCAAAACTAAGTAACACATTTTTATAAAAAAACATATATCATACCTAATTCCATCCATGATTGGTCCAATAAAACTTAGAAACAATATATTTCAAGCAAATACGAAAAACAACTTTCTAACTTGTAGAAGATCCACCATTGTTGATAAATCCACTGGTTTGAACAGCGCGCATGAGAGAACGATTCTGATTGGATACGGCATAGGGTTTCCCGTCGTTCCTGGGCAATCATTTCCGGGTCGCAGAACGAGTGGTGTAAAAATTAAGAAATGTCTAAATAAGTGTGTGAAAGATTTTGCATAGCTGACATAAACTATTTGTTTTTTCTGACTCCCCTTTCTTTTTCTCTTCCCTTTAGTTTTCTACCCTACTTTTTAAAACTCAAGAGGTGACAGGATTTTCATTATTTTAGCTATCCTCCGAATAACGGGCTCACAAGATGGCGGCCAAAAACTGGGCCTCAGTCACGTGTCAATTGCGCACTTCCGGCGACATAATTTCCCTAGGACTTACGAGCAACGCTGCAGGAGATGCGGAAGCTGCTGCTCGAGAGTCCCAGTCATCTAATTTAGCCTCAATCCACGACGCGTGAGCTGCGTGTGGGATACACTCGGCGGTGGCGGTAGTCGCCGGAAAACCGTAAATTACGTCGCCGGAAGTGCGCAATTGACACGTGACTGAGGCTCTGTTAGGATGTTTTACTTTTACGGCCGCCATCTTTTGTGCCCGTATTTCGGAGGATAGCCCTTATTTCTTATGCGGAAACGACTGCTTGTTACACCAGCTGGTGAAGGTAACCTAATTATAACTTCTTTTTGAGACTGAACTGGGATCTGCCTTGTTGCTTTACCGTTCAGCTAAAGATTTTTGCACGCTCTTCTGTATATATAGAGTCGGCCGTGGATTTTTGAGTCTCAGGATGGCATGGTAAACTTTTAGGTAGCATCCCGAATTTGATCGATAGATTTTATGACTATTATCGGTCCTTACTATTCTTCTTCTTCTTCTTCTTCGATCCTTCTGTCAGAAAACTTATATCAGGAGGCCGGTAGCCTTTATGAAAGCTATCATGCAATCCATATCTTCTTGTGTACCGTACAGTTTTGTCTTCATTGTGGTTGGAACAGGCCAGATTGCGTCTCTATTGTCAGCATACAGTTGACAGTGTTGGAGCACATGCTCGGCATTTTCGGGTGCCACGCTGCAGGGACACGTCTCCACTGCAGTACAGATTGTTCTACCGAAGAGCCTGAGTTAATCAGCTGTTGCGTCAAGTCAACAAACTGAGTGTCTTTTGGGGTAACAATTGCTTGTAGAACTGACATAGCATCAGTCATAAAAACCACTCTGCTATATTTGCTGTGCTGTTGTCCATTCAGGAAAGAACATGCCGCCAGAATTGCTTCTGTCTCTGCTCTGTAATTGGATAAATATGAACCTGTTGCACAGCCTGGTTGATTTTTAAACCATTTGGGCATTCTATGTATTTTCCTCCTCATCCGTCTTTTACTGCTCTCTTGGCTGAACCATCTGTATACACTCGAATCCAACTGTGGTGTGGATAAAGTTTATTGATCTCTCCTTCTGTAGTTGATTTCATATCAGTGCTGTTCATTAATGATTTGGAGGAGATCCCTGTTACAGTGGTTCTGACTGTTGGCAGGCTATCCCTGAGCCAAGCATGGATCAGTTCGTGTACCTACAGGTCCTTCTGTATATAAATAGAGAAGGCTGTGGTGTACCGACACCTCTTCATGACACAACAAAAGGCTGCCAAGAACCTTCTCGCATTGTCTTCCTCTGTCTATTTCCCCCACACATATGTCAAGTGTTCACAACATGTCAGTTTCCTCCTTCTCATAACATAACCAAAAACTGACGAATATCTCTTTGTGATGATTGTGCTAAGGTATCTTCGAGCTCTGGCAATCCAGAGTGAGATTTTGAAATCTTGAAATAGAGTGGAGCACCCTTAGGAAGCAGCCCGGAGGGAACAAAATGATCGATCTTCCTTACCATAACAATTAATGCCACTTCCACATCGGACTGCAGGTTGCTTGCAATCGCAGGGGTGTCCTCATATACCCATTTTTTAGGACTCGCTAGCGTAGTTGATTAAACCTGTTTTTGCGGCGATCTGGTGACGAACTTCTTGTAGTCCTGGTTCACGCCCTAGGGTAAGCAGAAAAGTCACATTTCTTCCAGATTTACAGTATCTATCACGCAATCAAGGCCGAAGGGTTGCGATATTCATAGCACCAAGCCAGAGGGTCAACAACGCATGGTTTCTAGATATGAAAAGAAAACTGGTGAACATGGCTTTTTGGATTTGCATCTGACCGTTTCTCTCACCCTTGAGATGTTAATCTTGTGGGCAGCAATGCTGATAGAAACATCAGTGACTGAAGGCCAGCTGATAAAAAGAAAGTAATCAGCTGAACTGTAACTGAGAAGCTCAACAACAGGTTGATGGAAACACATAAACATTCACATGCACACACATTCACACAGACATACATTCACACGCACACTAACACATTCACACGCACGCCCACACATACACATATATACACACAACACACACAATCGGGAATTTCGGCGAAAGTCTTAATCGACAAACACCCAAAACGTTCTTTTTTATTGTGGTGTTTATTCTTCTGGACTACAGTCCAGTGAATAGCCACAACGGAGGAAAACATTTATTGACCACATGTCCTTATGGGTACATGGCTGTTGGCTAAACCAGCTTGACGCGACTGTTACGGATGTTCAAATTAAACTTATTTTGAGGTTGAAAGGGTATCTTGAAGTTGCCCACTTGGCTTGCCATCCAGACTGAGATTTTTATTCTCTCGGGGTGGTCACACTTCAGGTCGCCAAAGGATTGCAGATATCACGATGTTGGTAAAGGCCTAGCGGTTCCAGGCGCCCCAATTATAACTTTTTTGGGGGCTGAACTGGAGGATATTTTGGAGTTCCTCTGTTAACATGTCATCCAGATTGAGTTTTTTTTTGTCATTTCAGAATGGTCAAATTTCATGTTTCAGCCCTGGCTTGGGATGAGACGGATTAGCTAGAGCAGTCATTGCGCCTTTTTTTCAATAAAAAAATTTCCACAGCGATCTAACTTAAGTAAAAGTATGACTATTCGTATGTAAGAGATACAAATAAATAAATAAATAAAATAGCTGGGCACACCAAAGTACTACTGCATGTAGTATTATAGTCCCAAAATAAACTGTATGTGTTTGAATGGGGTAGTTAGAATTATTCGTGTCAGACTGGCATATTTTCTTTACGCTCACCAGCTGTAAACTCTGAGGAAAAGTCACACGTTTGTGTGTCCATTTTTGGACTTTAGTTTCTGAACGTCAGTTTTGCGTACCCATCCAGTTTACACCCAGCGCAGCTCCAAGGCTATTGACGATTTCAGGGGTGCCCCCTCACTGTGTGATGCCCTAAACACGTGCTTAATGCGCTTAATACATAATCCGGCCATGACCAGAACCCACACGTGAAGACGCATCTTCAATGGAACTCTTTAGATCACTGTATTTTGAAACAAATAAATACCTCGCTTTCCCTGTATGTAACGATTACAGCTGTACCAAAGAGATCCAGACAAGACTTGATTTGGCAACAGCCGCAATAACCCAGCTGAATACGACGTGACAGAGAAAAATCAGCATCGCAGTTAAGGTCAATATATACTGGTGTTGTCTGTTTTCTTACAGATATGTGAGAGCTGGATATTCACTGTGGAAATGTAAGGAGGATTTAGACTTTCGAATGTAAATGCTATAGACGCATTTTAAGAACTAGTTATTTAGAACTCAAAAATAATAAATATGTCAGAATCAAAAAATGCAAATTTGCAGGACATCAGGAGTCTTTTTTGGCAGTGTTGAAACGTCACAAGCTAGATTGGTTCGGGAAGGTGATGAGACATGATTCGATTGCAAATTCTGTACTTCAAGGAACACAATAAAGAACCAACATATTAACTGCATTTCACCTTGTTGAATCCTATCTCGCTCGGCCGCTGTTAGCATATTGATAGTCAGCAATAACACAAACAACAAAACAGCTGTTATGAAAGTGACATATACAATATATTGTAGCAATATAAAAGGTTAGTTGCATATCCTTTACAGTTCGTTGCAGAACCGAACCGAGCAGCCCATGGCTGTTGTGTGGTTTCTCTAGACAAATTATGTCCAGTAGTTTGCCACTGCTTCCTGGACGGTCGGCCCCTTGATACCACCGTCGAAACCAACGGAAAGCGCTTGACCCGCAGCTGGAATCGAACCCGGCACCCCGGCATTACGAAACATTCGCATTTCTCCACAGAGCCGACATGTAGCAATATACAAATGTGTTTAAGAATTTTGTTTTTTATTCCTTTCTGTTGACCCCAAACGGTAGTATTCCTTTGGGCTATAGGGATGCGTGCGAAATAACCCTATGGTGATGGCGAATAAGACAAGCAAAACTACCTCGCATTCCTTCTCTCCTAAAAAAATTTAAATAAATTTAACGAATCTTTTCGACGCCTTCAGGCTATTGTGCATAAAGGACAAGACCAGTATATTATAAGCACACCGGTAATGGCTACATCCAAGTTTTACAATCGTGTACCCTGCTGTCCTATGCTGGTAGGAAGAGGATGTATATTGTCTAAGTCACTGACTGACTTTCTACCCAACCAGGACATCACACAAGCGTTAAACACCCGATGACACATTGTGCCACAATGTGGATGAGGATCACCGTGGAGAGGTCCCAGAAACCGCGTCCAGCCTTTAGGCCACATTTATGGCTAGGCTATACCGCGGCCCATGGCAAGAGCCAGAGTAGGGCTTCAAATAACGAAAAATGTCATCCTAAAAAAGACGGGAAGTATAAACAGTCTAACTCATAAAAAGCAGAGAAGCCTTAACAGACCTACACGGGAGCTAGTATCAACTACAAAGCTGCCTCAATCGAATTTGTCTTATTTTAATTATAATCAAGATGCTGTTTGAAGATAAAGGAAGAAAAGCAATATTGTGAACATTCT